GACCTTCTTTTTGCAATACCACCACCACCACCGCAGGTTTGCCCCGAAGTCTCTGTTTGTGTTTCTTTTACTCACCTAATAGATCTGATTTGCTGATCGTTTGTATATGTTTTACTGTAGATCTATAAATGACAAACGAAGTGGATTTCAACCCTCAAGTTACCAATCAGGTCCCTGAGCAGGCTACCATCGAAAGAAGCAAAAGAGGACCAAGAAGTCTGGCTTAACTGGAAACCATGAAAAATATGAGGTACGGAATTATTTTGTTTTGGGGTTAGCTTAATCATGATTCACAAGAAAATTAAAACAAAGTGACATTTCGAAATTGTTGTCTGAATGTTCCGAAGGTAGTAACTTCCGAAATTTTCTGAATGGGCTTCGAAATAATCAGGCCGAGCCCATTTTCCGAATGGGCTTCGGATGAGATCTTATGGATACCATTGATTTTTGCTTTTGAGTTGGATATGGCTATAAGCTCTGTCAATATCTTGCTTTTAATTGAGAGAATGCAATCAATTTATTGAATGGAAAGTGGCTTTTAAATAACCTTTACAAAACAGAAAGCAGAGGAACACGACCCCATGACTAATCCCATGACTAAGAGCATCTCCACCCACAAGGGCAAAGTCTAGGGCAAGGGCAAGCAAGGGCTGTTACTATTCACGTGAATAGTGTCAGCCTTTGCATTTGTGGTTCCACCCACAAGGGCAAAGTCTAGGGCAAGGGCAAGCAAGGGCTGTTACTATTCACGTGAATAGTGTCAGCCTTTGCATTTGTGGTTCCACCCACAAGGGCAAAGTCTAGGGCAAGTCTAAGGTAATTACTATTCATTGTACTTTATTTTCTATTTTTTTATAGTTTAAACCATTAATTTTGATAATCTTTTGTAATTAAATTTTCGGATAAGATTTTCACCCTCTAAAATTGTGCCACGTCTGATGTAGAACAAATGTCAGATTTTATCGCTTGAGTTAGAAAAAGGACGTAGTGGGAATTTGCAGATTTGTCGTCCGAGCTCCGATTAGGACGCAAAATACCATTTCGGAAAGGGAACGACGCCACGAGTCAAACTCACAGCTTTGCTGTGATGTATGATGGATTTTGGCATTTTGAGGTCGTTTAGCCTTCCAAAACGGTATTTAAAGTTTCGTAGTTAATTTTCAGTATTTCAGATTTTTTTCGATTTTTTTTGCAATTTTTTTAGCCAAAAAAACGAGGACCGTCGGATTTCTGGAAAAATTCCATCGGAGAGTCCCCGTCGCGCCACGTGGCACCCGCCCGTTGGAGCTGTCAGTGGCTGACGTCACCAACTCGGGCTTCAGCCCGGGCAAGACTTGCCCTTCGGCTTTCCGGCTCGTGGGACCCGCCACCAAACTGGGCTACGGGCCCTGCGCTGGAGTGAACTCGGGCTGCGTCGGGCAGCCTTTCCCCCCTAGCCCGAAGAGCGCTGGAGATGCTCTAACAGTCCCTAAAGTCAAGGGATCATCCTAAAGAAAAATTCAAACATTATCTACTTCCTTATAACAAGGTTTATTTCAACTAAAACTAAACAACTTTAACAAATAGTAAATAACAACTTTTCGTCCTCCCGTAAATTGAAAGGCAATAAAGCTTTCAATTTAAAGACAAACTTGAACATATATCCCCAGCAATTTCCGCATCTTTACGAATGCCTCCAACTTTAATGGCTTAGTTAGGATATCAGCAACCTGCATATTGCCTGGACAATGCTCTAACGCAATTACTTCATTTTTGACAAGATCTCGAAGGAAATGGAATTTGACATCAATGTGCTTGCTCCTCCCATGCATTACTGGATTTTTGGACAGCTTAATAGCAGAGCTATTGTCACAGAAAATCATAGTAGGCTTATCTTGTTTAAAGCACAATTCTTCTAGCAACCTTCTTAGCTAAACAGCTTGACAAGCACTTGAAGTTGCAGCTATGAATTCAGCTTCTGTTGTAGAGAGAGTGACAACTGGTTGTCTTTTCGATGACCAAGAGACAGCTGCTGAACTTAGCATGAATGCATATCCAGATGTACTTTTCCTATCATCAAGATCACCTGCATAGTCACTGTTGCTGAATCCCATTAGCTCACCCCCAGCTTCCTTCTTGTTTCTAGTTTCCTTCTTGTAGAATAGACCAAGGTCTATTGTTCCTTTCAAATAGCGAAGCACTCTCTTAGCTGTCTGATAATGAAGTTCAGTAGGTGATTCCATGTACCTGCTAATAAGGCTCACAGCAAACATCAGATCAGGTCTGGTAGTAGTTAAGTACATTAGGCTTCCCACTATCTGCTTGAAGTGAGTGCTATTGACTCCTTCTCCTCCCACATCCTTGTTAAGCTTTGTTCCTGGAACTATAGGATTTTGGACATAATTGCCATCTTCCATGTGAAATCTTTTGAGAATTTCCTCAGCGTATTTCTTCTGTCTAATAAAGACCCCATTGCTTGTTTGCTTCACTTCAATTCCAAGAAAATAGTGCATTTTTCCCAAGTCTGTCATCTCAAATTCTTCCATCATGGACTTCTTGAATTCTTTGAACATGTCTTCATTATTTCCTGTGAAAATTAGATCATCCACATAAATACATACAATAAGAATCTCACATTCTTTACCATGCTTGACAAACAAAGTGTGCTCGTATGGGCACTTGGTGAATCCAGCTTTCAAGAAGTGTGACTCTATACGACTATACCAAGCTCTTGAAGCCTGCTTTAGTCCGTATAGAGCCTTTTTTAATCTGTAGACCTTATGTTCTTTCCCTCTTTGCACATATCCAGGGGGTTGAT